TTATTGAATAATGTTTCGATCAACTTACATAGAGCAGCAGTGGCACTTGTTTTCTGTTTGTCTTTGATACGAACGCCATGGGCGGTCAAATGAAAAAGGTAACAAACTCCAACTGGACAGAGTAAAAAAACTTACCCTAGCTTTTGTTAATTTTCCAGAAGCAATATATAGTACTGTATTGATGGGAGGACAAGAAATTGCACCCTTAGCATAAGACCTACCTCCGGCGCGGTCCTTGTGAATTATTGTTTCTCATGGAAGGACAGACATAGAAAACATTATGAATGTTTACGATAAAGAAATTGTACAATGATTGATGTCCTCCTAATGCATGAACACGGTGGTATCCCCTCATATTCCCGTGTCGTGTCGAGTCATATCGTATTTTGGTGTCATCATACAACAATTTTTCTTGTTAATTTGACGTATCTCTGTGTCATGTCGTCTCGTATCTCTCTATCCATGCATCGTAGAGGTCCTCATGTTCTCCTTTGCTATAAAACTTGAGTTGTTTATGACCGGTCTGTTTCTTTCGTCGAGTACTTAAGAATTATGGCTAAGCCGCCCACATGCACATAATGCATCTGTCTGCCGTGAATTAGAAATCAAGAAAATCAAGGCAGCCAAAGTGCAGTTATGAGTTTCCTAATCAAACCCCACAGCAACTACATATGATCTTGCATTTCTAGTGCACATGGCGACACATCACAAGCTGTAAATTTTGGTCCACATAAGACAAGGATTGATTGAGAGGGATAAGGTGCTCCTTCTCCCAAACCCTACCTCCACAGAATTTTTTTTTCTTCTGATAACAATTATAATTCGACGCGAAAAAGTGTTTTAAGTAAAGTAGAAAAAAAAAAAAACCTCGGCAACTATAAGTTATATACAACAACGCTTCGAGAGCTGCATTGAAGAAAAACCTCTTGTATTTGTCCTCTTGTCATGCTTTTTTCTATTGATTCTTAGTTAAGAAATTGCTTTAGTTGTCTTCTCTCATTACAAGGTAAGCTGTGTTTTTTAATGACTTGGTTTTCACACCATTTTTAGCTTTTCATGCACTTCTTTTTATTTTCGAACGTCGTAGTCAATAAAATCAACGAAAACAAAAGTTGAGCTTAAAAAGTAGTGTGTAAGGAGAGAAAAATGGTGTGTATTTTACAATTTGAAGATGTAAAAGCAGCAGTACTTTTTGTCTTGGACTTGCCCAGCCTCCTTTCAACGTTGTTGAGTCTGTCAATGTCACACTTGATTAGATTAGAATCCAAAAGCAGGGCCGTGGCCAGAAAGAGATGAACTGATAAATGGGTCTCCTTCGTTCTCTCTCTCTCAAGGCTCTTCTCTCTGTAACTCTTGGGGGACGGTCCGTGATAGAGAGTTACTTTGTAGATACTTCCATATGATATTCATCCCCATATGCCCCCATCTTTTAATTTTGTAACTTTTGAATTTCATCTCTTTCCCTCCACCTTCAAGTAATTGTATGTATCCCTTCTTTCTTTTCGAGTTGAAATTCCTTTTTATGTTTGCTTAACCAAAACAAAGAGACAATGTCATGGATAGATATGGATTCTACTTAGTTTTTGTGGCAAAATGTGTTTTCTTTGAGGAAAAAAAGGAGATCAAGTGTGTTGAGCTGAAAGCACTTTCGCAACACATGCAATAAATGACTTGTCATAAGGATATGCAAGGAACTTATAGCTGAAGTTATTATGAATATATACTTTTGCATCTGAGGTTCTAGATTTGATTCCTCCCTTATTCAATATCATTTTGTCTAACAAAAATAACGAAGAAGAAGAATTCACGTGTTTTGCAAGAACATTTTGGCAACTATCAAGTCAATCATAAAGCATGAGAGAGAATGTCAAAAGAGCAGAAGGTATTTCAATGTGCATACGTTAATCTACATGTAGCAAACAATATAAATATAGGGGTGTGTTATCCACACACCATATTTTACTTCTTACACACTCCTTAATATTTCTGTCCGTTGATCTTCTTCAATTCATCCGATCTGACGGCCGAAAATTAAAAAGGTGTGTGAGAAGTAAAATGAGATGTGTGGATATCACACCCCACAAATATATATTTCATATGTATTTATAATTAAACCAAAAGAAGACATAACGTATCTTCAACAGTGTAATGTATTAGTTAAAAGAATGAGAGACCAACCATATGGAAGAGGATCCTTTTCGAATCTACTTTGTGGGGATCTTAGGAATCTCCACATCCTAGCCGTTCATCATACATTGTGCGGCCAATTTTTGTTAGGTACTATTTGTGTTTAATTTTAAATAAAAAAGGTTAAATGATTTCTGACTGCATAATGCACAATGAATGACTAAAATGTGAGGATCCTTAGGATCCCCACAATTTGGATCCGGATGGGATCCAAATCCCAACCATATCTTGAAGGTCATTTGGCGGACATGTCATACCCCGACAGTTATTTTGACTTGGCGACTTTTTCATGATAAAATTCTCACTCTGAGGTCGCACTTCAACAACGAGGTTGAATGACTAAAATGTGAGGATCCCTAGGATCCCCACAATTTGGATCCGGATGGGATCCAAATCCCAACCATATCTTGAAGGTCATTTGGCGGACATTTCATACCCCGACGGTTATTTTGACTAAAATGTGAGGATCCCTAGGATCCCCACAATTTGGATCCGGATGGGATCCAAATCCCAACCATATCTTGAAGGTCATTTGGTGGACATTTCATACCCCGACGGTTATTTTGACTTGGCGACTTTTTCATGATAAAATTCTCACTCTGAGGTCGCACTTCAACAACGAGGTTTTTCTTTAGCACCATTTGTCGTTTATGTTGTGCCTCTGAAGAATCTGCTGCTCATTTTTTCTTCTAATGTTCGGCATATGAGCAAATTTGGATGTGGTTGGCCTGTCAATTTGGTACTTATTTGCCCTTATGATTCCTTACCAATGTTTTGGGACGCTTTTGGGAGTAACCCTTTTTCTCGTTAGTTACATAATCTTTGGATTTTGCGGGTCTAGTTACATGTTATACTATTCAGAAGGCATGCAATAAGTCTACCTTTGAAGATTGGCCAATCTCTTTTCATCATCGTTACATGTCTATTGCTTCTAGGATTGTTTATGCTAGCAAGGTTATCCCTGGATGCTCCAACGGTTTGGATCTTCGTATTATCTCATCTTTGGGTATTCAACCTATCCCTCAAAAGGCCCTAATTATTCATTGTGTGCTTTGGCCTCCTCCATAGTTTTCTTGGATTAAGCTTAACACTGATAGTTTGACTAAAGGAAATCTTGATCCTGCTGCTTATGGAGGAGTTTTCAAAGTGGTCATTTTCTTAGTGGTTGTTGTCAAGGTATTGCGTCATCACAATTATTTTTTGGAAAAATTATTAGCGTAAAATTGTCTTATCCATGAGATTGGCACTGTTTTTGGTTGAAAAGTGATTTTACGAGTGCTCATGTTGTCTTCATTCAAAGAATTTGCTCCTCCTTGGCCTCTTCGCATTCATTGGTTTACTTGCTTGGATCACATTTATTGAGAAGGAAATGTCGTTGTTGACAAATTTGCTAATATGAGCTTGTCTTCTTCAACCTTGGTTTGGCATGACTCCCCTCCATTGGCGGTATGTGCTTCTTTTCATTTGGATTTTCTTGGCTTGCCTGGTTTCCGATTATCGTATTAATGTACATCTCGGTTTACAAGTTTGTCCCCCTTCATGATGTGTGTTTTTCCTTTTTTTCCTAACCCATTGCTTTTGGTGATTTGCAACTTGTTTTGCAAGTCTAAATCAGTAGACCTTCTAGGTTTTTCTTTAGAGGGGCTTAGGCTTTAGTCCTCCCTATTTTCTTGTATTTTTATTTATTTTATGAAGACGAGTCCAGTTTATGTCATTCCTTCTTTTCTTATATTTTTCATTTTCTTTCTTTTTGTTTTATGAGGGGTAAAGTTTATGTCTCTTGGACTAAGTTTAACTACTTTTTTTCTTCAATAAAATTTTCCTCATACCGTCGAGTTTTCCCAAAAAAAAAAAAAAAAAAAACAAACATATATAGAGTTGTGATCCCTTAATTAGTTAAAAGGATTTGTCTCAATCTTCAGAATATGACGTAAACTGCTATTCTGAGTAGAATTTTGTGAATAATACAAAATTTTCTCTTAAAACTAAGAGTGGCAGATGTTTGTTGTTGATAAATATCTGCTCCACTAAGATGGTACAAATTTTGTAAATTTCTTGAAATAGTTACACATTCAAATTTGTGTAAGGATATGCAACATGCTAGGTTGTGGAACGTAGCTACATCAAACGTACCTCAAAAGGAGGGAAAACACTTCAGCTCCTTTCACACAAATAATATTTTGACGCGTGTGTATAAATTTTTAATTTTGTAATTTTTATGTGTTACATCTGCACACGTATCCAACAATAATAACTCTGAACATGTGAATAGCTAAATAATGTCCTAAAAAGAGACTGTTTCTTTTTCTTTTAAGTCAATTAATAAACGACTGTTAGGAAATAAAAGCTCTCTACATAACCAGTACCATACTATTCAATGAGCTCAACTGAAACACATTAAATTATTACCCAGAAAAACGAATAACCATTTAATTAAAAAGTTGTTTATATATAGACAAATATAACATAAACTAGAAATTTGTTATTGTGCTCGGAACATGAGATGATATGTTATATGATAAGGAAAGGTTTTTTTTTTTTTTCAAATATTTCTCTACTTATATATAACATATGACAATGTGATCGTGTTTCGAACAGTCTAAAAAATCTCTCAACGTAAACGAGTAAAAAGACCCCACCAGTTACCTTCCCTTATACCACAACCTTAAATAATCTTCCTTCCCCTACAACCCTCCCCTCTGACTACCCATCAATGCCACATTTCACAGCTCCAAAAATTCATATTTCAAAGTTTTGAAAAACCTCATTTCTTCTCCCAATCCCTCCAAGAAAACCAGAAAAATATATTTCAGATGGGGAAGAAAATGAAGCTCCCTTTTCTCTCCAAGAACACATCAGAACTATCAAGATCTTCATCTTCTTCTTCCTCCCCATGGCCTTGGCCTTCTTGTGCTCAAACCAGAACCCTTTCTTTCAGAACAGGCAATGATATCTTCAAGACCATAAACTCAGCCTACTTTGACACCACAAACCCTACAACAGATTTGGTGTTGGTGGATAGCACACCGAACTCGTTCTTCACCAACTCATCATCTGACAAGTGTCCCATCTTCTCCACCGCCTCTGAAGACTCACGAGGCGGTGGAGGAGAAGACGCAATAGAGAGTGTGATTAAAGGGTTGAGGTCAGAGAGGCTCTTCTTTGAGCCAACTGGTCAGACAAGCTCTGTGTTAGTTGAGACCAAGGAGGCGGCGGCGGCGGCGGCAGCAACAGCTGATGATGGTGGTGATGGGGTTAATAATGTTATTCCATTCAAGGAGAGTGTGGCTTTGTCAATTGACTCACCAGACCCGATTGTGGATTTCAGAAAATCTATGGAGGAAATGGTGGAAGCTCATGGCTTGAAGGATTGGGAGAATCTTGAGGAGCTTTTGTGTTGGTATTTGAGGGTAAATGGTAAAAGCAACCATGGCTATATTGTTGGAGCTTTTGTCGATCTCTTGGTAGGTCTTGCATTTACTACTACCAGTAGTAAATCTTGTTCTTGTATTATTAACTCTCCTTCTTCTCCTTTCTCTAATTTTTACAATAGTATTACTACTTCTTCTTCGTCGTTGTCGTCATCGTCTTCTTCTGCGACTACTCCTTGTGTTTCCTCCGTAGAAGAAGAGTCTGAAAGTACTGCTACTACTCCATGTTTATCTTCATTGTTAGAAGGTGAAGAAGACCAGATTAAATAAGAAGAAAATAACGAAGGCGGCGGCGACAACGACGGTGTTTCATCTTAGCCAGTTAATTAATTATTTGTTTTCTAATTCGATGGAAAATCAAAACATGTATACTAGTAGTAGTAGAAATGATAGTGAAAACTTCAACTTTTGATCTCTCTCTCTCTCTCTCTCTCTCTCTCTCTCTCTCTCTACCAAATTCGTGTGGAGATTCCAAGCGTGTGTGAGTTTTACAGTTTCCCATTTCCCAACGCATATCAATTAGAGTAAGATTAGTGAACATAGGTTAATTTCCATTTCAATATTCGTAACGTTACAGATACCACGTTTATTGGTTATACTTGGCGTAGATTTGAGATGTAGCTGATCACGTTACACTTCTCGAAAAATCTATCTACTTCTCACCTACTTAGCCCGAGTAAATTTTACATGATGAATAATGTGAATCTTTTTATAAAAAAGTCATGTATGCTGTTTTTGGAAACTTTTGGTCACACTTGATGGCAGATTGAATGTGTTATATTACGTAAGACAAATTAAAAATTTTATGTGGACCGTCAAGAGTCTCAAGACATCATCAAATTGTTGATAAAAATATAAAAAACTGCTGCGGGAAAAAAGGTACACTGAAAATGAAGCATCTTGCTTCAACGGCATTCTGTTAATTATATATGACATATCAACATATGCTAAGCTCCAAGTGGGCAACAACTTATGGCTTTTTCTCCTATTTTTTAGTGAATATATTATTTTGTTGGATTTGTTTTCTTTAAAAAGGGCTCAGCTGTGATTTTGTCATGACAATTCATCATTCAGGGGATTGAAAGGATTCAGAGAAGCCTTTAAATATTTTTCTGTTTATCATCGTGTAATTCACACAACATATGATATTCGTTTCCAACCATGAGTCACCCCTTGATGATTATATTAATGTTGGATTGTTTAATGTGTTCCGATGTGCTGCGATTACTAAGTTAGGAATTCAGTGATTTAAAATATTCTTAAGTCTAACAAAATGAACAGAAATTTGCAGAGATAATCTTCTGCAACTGATCACATTGACACTAGTGTAGCCACTGTGATTTAGTAATTTCTGCCACTCTATGCAATCCAATTTCTGAAATTTTGAAGCAATCAGGGCCGTTGATTTTGAAAATGGACCGTCGTTATCAATGATTGGTACCATTCCAGCTCTGAAATTTGGCGTGGTCCTAACACTCATTTCCTTGCACCTGCACAACCCCGATAAAAACTGTGAAATTTTGTGTCGAAAATATTATCCTGGAGTGAGCAGGGGAAATTTTTGTGTACCACAACTATAGTTATGGAGTGTTATTATTTTTTGTGATATGAATAAAAAGAAACTACATATGTTATAATTTGAATGAAAAAATAACATTACGTGATAGCGTTCTGAGTATGCTAAAAAAATTAGTCAGTGACGAGATTGGCATGAACATAATGAATTACTATGAATATCCATGGTTACTCCTACAGTAAGGTAGCGTACGATAGACTGTCCTCCCCCTCCCCCGACCTTTGCAAAGCAAAAAATTTTGTTGACTTGGAGTTGCCATTTTTATTCATAGTTTTGAGAGTGAAACAAGTACTAAGTTTAAGAAAAGAAAACAAACACACCTGCAATTGCCTTATTCAGCTTTATATAATTTCAGATGGAAAATATTTGAATGCTTGTTTTTATTTTTATTTTTATTTTGTCTTCTTATTTTGGGTAACCTTATCATCATATACCTGCATATTTAATAATTTGAATTTTTCACCGTTATGCAAATAGCTAGGTGTTGCAGGAAAAAACAAGAAGGTGGGATATCTGTTCTTTGGAGGTGTCATGTATGAATGTCAGTTTTTGAGTGGTGCAAAGAAGCAGCTCTCACCAAGTTAAATCCAATGCAGGATAGGAACAACTTAAGCTAAATCCGATGCTACATCTCCGTACTCCATACTTGTATTTGGTTGTGATCCGCATAGATGTCTTGTTAGGCAAGGAGTTATATATATGGAAGGTACAATTTCCCATGTCGCGACACCTAATCAATTGTGAAAAAGATTGTTAATCTAAACTTAAGTAACGATATATACTTTCGTTTAACTATGTACATAGCTCAAAGATCATATTTTGATAACATAATATGTTTGATTGTCTTCGAATAAAAAAGTATTCCCATCAATTATCAAGTAACACTATAGCTACTAAATCTTGTGCTGTTTATATACCACAAATAAGCAGATGAGGGAGTTACAAATTCCCATGTTGTGGTATATCTAATCAGCCATGAAAAAGATTGTTAATTTGAACAGTCGATTAGGTTGTACTTTCGTTTAAATTGCCCATGCTGATTTATTTTGATAACATAATATGTTTAATTGTCTGATTTCAAAATAATTGGTTCCTAAAAATTATCATGTTGATTTATGTTATCATCTTGTTCTCATCATTGGGAAGAATAACTAAAGAACAAATATATAGGAGGTGTGCTATATTATGTAAATATGGATTTGTACAAACAATAATATATACCCCACTAGGCTCACTAGAAACTAACAAAAAGAATGGTTTTTTTTTTTTAAATAACAAACGATTCTTGAAATTGACTAAATCTTTATTTTAGTTTTTAAATTTCAAAAACAATCAACGTGGTCTTTAAAATTAGTTATCTCAAATCAAATTTGATCATTCTGTTAGATTTCGTCAATTATGATGTGAACAGAGTTTTGTGTTCACTCCCTCAAACTTGAGCGAGGAAACGTCGCTCATTAGACTCTAGCTTTAGATTACCTCCTACTCATAATGTTTACATTACCTTAACAAATAGCAAACAAATGAAGGCAAAAATGAAAAAGAAAAAGAAAAAAAATTAAAGGCAGTATAGCAATTAAATAGGTAAAAAAATTAGTCAATGCTCCATGTTTCGAGAGTCTGTTGGCTCAGCAATCAGCATGGATGTCTCTTCAATCTCTGAGCCAAGATTCTTGCCCTAACGGTGAAGCTTCTAAACCTCGTGCCATTCATATTTTAATACCTCAATCTCGATATGCTAAGGTGGATATAATGTTTAATTTTGTTTTGTTTTAATTGTAATGACTTCTGATTATATAATATTAGCAAATTAAGTTTGAGATTAGTGATGTTTGAAGTCTATTCATTGCTGAAGTTTGATTATAAATTGGATTTCAAGCACTCGAACGAGTGCTTGAAGGCTTTAAGCACCTTCCCTAGGTGATAGGTCTCTGCTCCTCGTCCAACTAGCATCTATTGCATTTTAGAACCTTGTATACAGTGTTTACAAAATCAATTGAGGTTAGTAGAAGTTCTTTTTGCTTCCCGTATTTGTACTGGTCAACAAATTTACTGGCTTCTTTTGTTTCAGGGGAAGATGCCTTCATAGGTTGAATAATTTTGAACCGAAATGATTGTTTAATATTTTGATATTCGATGTAAATGTTTATATTTAAATTTAATGAAGTTTTCTATCGTTTGAACAAGAAACTAATTAAGGGGTTGGCAATGGTGTAGGTCAAAACAAACTAGGTTCCACATGACAACATCAACAAATAGGTCTCAATGGGTTAGAATGCTCGTAGCATGCACTGGAACACAATTGAACTGTTCCAGACAAAGAAACAGACACCCTGCAGGCTTTTACTTGTCAAATTTGGAGAAAATCAATATCAACACATGTTTTCCCAAACTAATTAATGCTGCTTAGTCTGGTAATTAGTGAGATAATGACCCAAACAACACCCAAGAGAAAAACAAAACAACTACGAGAAATCCCTCATTTTCCAAGAAAATTTAATTTTACACGAAAATTGGGACTAAAAAAATAATATAGAAGTTGGCGTCTGTCTTATTTCAACTTGAGCTGTGTGTGGTTCTTGCATTCAATGCCTTTCATAGATCCATACGCCCGTCCCACATTTCACTCCAAGGCTTCTTATATTTTTTGCCCTAGGGATGGAAGTATAGTAAATTTATTACTTGGTAAATTTTTAAATGATAGTGTGGTTTAGATGCAAACTACTTCAAGATCTAAATAATGAATTGTTTTTTGCATTTGTTACTAAAGTGAGAATCCCCATAATAAAACAAAGACGATAATATGGTTTTTAATGTGTTTATTTGAATTGAACAGTTTGACATGATATATTGAGATTCCATTTAAAATTATTTAACAAGTTATTTTTGCTTTAATGCATGATTCAATTGGAGTATTTATAAAAATAATAGTCTTTGTGCGGGCCTCCCTAACTGTTGTTAAGCTTTGTATTAGCTAGGACTATATGTCACTCCTCTCTTGTCTTCCTCAAAACCGTCTCAAGCAGCCTTCTCCAATGACAGCAGCCTCACCACACCCTAAAATCTTAGAATTTGATTATCACCCAGAACCCCTCGACCCACCACCACAGGCTTGGGATCGCAAGGGAGTGCACAAGCAAGAGAGGAGAATCGCGAGGAAGGAGGGACGACACAATCCCACCTCTTGAGGTGGGTTTGAGATACAGTTTAATTAGTTGAGAGGGAAAAGAGAGAGGGATTTGGACGGGAAAAAAAAAAAGGAAGAGAGAGGGAGCTGGACAGGAAAATAATAGGAAGAGATAGAGAATTCTAGAAAAAGAAAAAAAAAGGTATTTTATATTAGCACTTCACAAAATGTTGAATGTACCCCATATTAAAATTTAATATTAATAAATTATTTACCCTACTATGCAATTACAATTTTGACCTTATTAGGTTTAAAAAAATAAAAAATTTCTAAATACACCCCAAATCACTTTTAACGTATTATTTATCTATTTCAACTATCAAAACCTCTCACACCCTCCATTGTTGAATAAAACCCTAAGCAATGAAACTACAAACATGTTGATTGAGAAAAATTATTTTTGACCGGAACGTGAAATCAGTGTTTCGAAAGCTTTACATGAGGTAAGACTTCGTATTTTTCTTTGTTTTAGTGATTTCGACGACATCGATAATTATTTAATCTCAC